GAGAGAGAGAGAGGCAATGCACAGAACCAAAGAATCGCCAACATAAAGAAAGACATGCGAACAATGCAGCGGAAGACTGAAAAATTGTGAAAATCAATGACCTGACTCATCATTACTCGTGACTCAGATGAACATGGAGGTCGGAGTTGGAGACAAACTGTGGGAAGAGAGTCAGAAAAGAGGGTAACAACTCTGATATAACAACCGAATAATAATCCCTCCCCAAGTCTCACGATTGTCACCAAGTGTAATATCAAGTGTGAACCTGGGGGTGTGGCCTCCCTGAAACACTCGCTAGTCTGTGGGCTCTCTCTCGTCCTAGAAGTATGACAGAGAAGGTGGATATGGAGAGGTAAAGGAGAACCAGAAGAGAAGAATAGAATCGCAATAAGAAGAGTCTCTCTCTCTCTCTCTCTCTCTCTGATGTATCCAATACTGACCAGTGAAGATGATGTCTGAAGTGCAGCAGGTCTCAATGTGCAGACCGGCCAATGACTGTTAACAGTCCCAGGCTATGACAACAGGTAAGTACGCAGCACTTCGGAGATTCGTAGCACGATCTAGTTTAAGACTATTTACACAAAAAACAACAAATCCAAAGTCAGGGACTCTCCACCAACGGAGGAATCCAGCGACATTTCAGGATATCAATGCAGATGGAAAGCACTACGAGGAAGGAGATCCATGTCCATGATGAAACGTGCGTATCAAGTGGTCCCGAAGAAGAGAAAGCAAAGCAACCTCTGTGCTGCTCCAGTACCCAAGGAAAGTAAATTTTATGTGTTTGGTTGGTGCGTTTTGTATTCGCTAGGCACAACTCCACAATGAAACAGTCACTGTGACAGTTTTGTTCGACTGTCGCCAACTCATCAGGAGGTTGAACCTCGACAGTCTGCCCAGGATGTATTTGACGGATGTGCGTGTGCACTGTGCGGTTAACATTCCTGGTTGCTTCCTTGGACGTGTTCTTTCCCTGTGGTGCCCGAGACCAGTGCCTGAAGTGATCATTTTTGTTTTGGGTGGTTGATCATATCCTATTCTGTTTGGATTCTTTCTGGGTTCTTGTGATATCAAAGCGCTGGATTCCCCCTCCCCTACTTGTGACGCATCCTTTAACTTGGTTTCTTGATGTTTGCTCCAAATTCACTGTGTGGCAGAGAGGACATCAGAACTCATTGGAATCGCTTCCCCAGTTCTTTGTCCTATTGCTTCTTTCTGGTATTCAGGTGAGTGTCTGAGTTTGTGGAAGTGGACCACAAAACTGAAAGCCAAAATTAAATCTTCGAGGTTGGAAAAGGAAACATCAGATATGTATGTATGTATTTCTGGGACGGATTGTGTGTGAAAATGTCTGCCTGCGTGTGCCTGACAGCAGAGGCAGGCAGGCAGACAGGCATACTCAGCTGAATGTGAGTCTAAGGGATTGCAAAAGAATGTGGGAAATGTACATGGACGTTTCAGGGTTGGGACAGAGGCAGCCACACAGGCAGCCAGTCAGTTAGCCAGCCAGTCAGTAAGTCAGGCAGGCAGGCAGGTGTGCATGCATGCAGGCTGGCAGCCTGGCAGCTCGGCGGCCAGGCAGGGCCACCC